CAGCAGGAACCTCATTCAAGTCAAATTTGAGAATCTTTGTATTTCCAATGCTTTCATTTTCTTGTAGAGCAAAATGATGCATGTCCTTGGATTCTTCATCATCATAAGGCTCCAATTTTATCTTAGTTGTTGAAGAACCTACATATTTAGGTAGAGGAGGGTACATAGGAGCTTCATATTCCTCAATAAAAGGTTCTACTTTCACTTTAATTATACGCCCCTCTCTAGTGTCACATGTAGCACCACTTGAAAAGTGTTTTTCTTGACCTTCAATCATATACCAAACAATATATATATCAAACACACATCATTTGAACAAGAAATAAGAAAAATTATGATTGGATGCTAAACATTGAAGGGGGTCTTTAACATAGGATGAGTTTCATTTTAAGGAGGATTCCATATCCCTCCCAAGCACATAAGGGATATGATATGTTCGGGTAGAAGCAAAATGAATTTGGAAGATTATCAAGGATATACTTATGTACCCTATAACTAACCAAAAAGATTCGATGATATTATATTTATCTCCTCTAAAATGGGTATGTATGAAAATGAGAAAATAAATGTATTATTTATCAATAATTTGAATTAAAGTATCTCATTATCTTAACTAACTTTTAATCAACATTAAAAATACCCTTACCTTCTTTACTCTTCTTGATCGAGTCAAAATTGATGGTATTTTTATTTTTAAGATTACATAGGAGTTTCATGTGCAAAGATAGACAATGGAGATTAGCTAATTGTCAATAGTCTACAAAAATTTTCTAGGATGATAAACTTTTAAAGACATATTATACATAAAAAAATATTGAGAAATGCAGTAAGAATACAATAAAACCTATCATCTTTAAGCAAGTTTCCATACAAATATAGTAATATGAGTTAACATTTAGGTTATGGATTAAAATCCTAAAACTATTACCTTAAGGGAATGGGAAGGTATTGACTAAAATCATTCTTAGAATAGGCTATTAATATTGTAAATATTGTACTTACACAATTTGATATTATTTCCTAATTTATAGGTAATTCAGCTTGATTATAAGAAATATATTAAGACCTCTTGGTGAATCAAACAATATTAATACCAAATAATTTTTTTTACATGGTATCAAGAACGGTAATTTGAACAACACCAAACCCTAAGTTGACCATTATTGCAGAAGCAATAAGCACAACTCTATGTGTCACTTGGGATAATCCCAATCATCAATTGAACATCCATCATTCTAATAAACCTAGTTGGATCCTTGTCCCATAACCTTTGGTGGAAGACAACTATAGCATACAGAGCCAATCCATGACTATATCCTTAACCATAAAATATGGACTAGGGTCATAGATGGCTCAATTAAAGAGCTAACTAAGTAGAGTTCAAATGAAAGAAAGTAGTGGAATATCTGCAAAATTTTGGTTGAGACATGGTTGTTGGGAACAATGTCTAAGGATATCATCAACAATTTGATTAATTGCAATGATGCAACATATATGTGGGGAGATTTAATGCAGATTTCTCTACATGTGAATGTTATCCAATTGTTGAATGTTGAAAACGAGATCAATAATTGTGTACAAGGAAAACATACTCTACGTTCCAATTTTTCAAACCTAAAAGGATTATAGGATGAACATGACATTTTCAACTATTTCCTAATCTACATAAATTGTTCAATCAAAGAAGTTTTTGTGTATTTGGAGACACCAAAAACCATGAAATTCCCTTATAGGTCTCAGTGAATCTTGCACATGTGTTTGTAGCAACACTTTGCTACAAAATCCACCTTTATAGTGAATAAAACATATTTCTTAGTCTTTCATCTTGAAAAACAATTGGAAGCAACAATTGTGAAGGCACATGTACAGCCAAATGTTATTTCCTTTGTTGTAAAAAATCCATGTCATGAATCTAAAGGAGAAAAACAATGACCTAAGGTACACTAAGTGCCACAAAACAAATCATACAACCAAGAATTGTCAAGAGAATTTGAAATGCTTTTCTTGGTTGGAAAAGGCAAATTACTAAGTATTCCAACAAGAAGAAATAAGCAACTAAGGCTAAATTTAATACAATGATTTCAAAGGGAAACCATGCTACTTCATCTATGACTAAAATGAAGGAAAAATGAATTTTCCTTTCATAGTTGGAGAAAGCAAGAAAATAGTTAATGTATTAAAGATCAAATCCTTTTCTACCAATAACGTAGGTAATTTCTTAACCCATGATGAGCTCTCAAGTAAAGCTTTTTTTCATTGAAAACAAAACACTTAGGTTTTAGACAATGGTTGCATCGATAAGATGGTTCATAATCTTAATGTTTTTCATCACTTGACACTTGTTAATAATAACAACATAGAGATTTTGAATGGTTCATTAGCTTAAGTGACACATATTGACATAATTGTCTTATCTCCTGATTTAATCCTTGATAATATTTAATATGTCCCAAGCTTTCAATTGAATTTAATTTCAATTAATAAGTTGTCTTCTCATTCTTATTGTATATCCATTTTCTTACACAATTTTTGTGTTATATAAGACTTGCATTCAAGGAGGATGATGAAGATGTGAATTGAATAGGAGGGTCTCTACCATCTTAATCAATTCCAGAAAGGAACATCCAACCATGCTTAAAAACATAGTGCGACCCTTTGCCATCAACATCTTGTTCATCCATCAACCTAAGTTTGTCCATTATTTATTTTTTTCATATTTCAAAAATAAATGTGATATTGACATGTGTTTAATATGTCATTGTCCAATCAAGCTAAGCTTCCTTTTACTTTCAAGTTCTATTACAACTACATCTCATTTTCATGTAATCCATGTTGATATATGTGGTGTTTATAAAATTACTTCTCTTTTGTATGCAAAATTATTCCTTACTATTATTGATGATTACACAAGATGCACATGGGTTTATCTTATTAAACACAAATTTAACACTACGGGCCTCCTAGTAAATTTCATCAACATGGCAAAAAATAATTTAATTCATAAGTCAAAATCATTCATTGTTGAAATGGGCCTGAGTTTAAACTTGAAAGTTTTTTATGTAAATAAAGGCCTAATCCATCAAACTAGTTGCCTTTATACACCCCAACAAAAAGAGGTAAAAGAAAAAAAATGTAGACACTTGTTGAACATGACTTGTGCATTACACATTTAAGATGAACTTTGTAATCATTTTGGGGATATGTCATTCTTTCTTCTAGATACCTTATAAATGGTATCGTTACTCCTCTTCTAGATAGAAAATCCCCATACAAAAATTACTTGACAAAAATCCCAATTATTCTTATTTGCATTTTTTTTTTTTAAATTTTTACTTAACAAACTTCGATCCATGTACTTCATGCTATAATTTTCTAGGATATCCTTATGGGTAAAAAAGATATCATGTCTTTAACCTTACACAACAAAAGGTCTTAGTTTATTATGACATTAACTTCTTTGAAACTATATTCCCTTTCCAAATTAGCATAAATTCCCCTACAACACTCCACAATTCAATTCTCTTAATCATTTTCTAAATTTGATTTAAACCTTTCTTTCAAGACTAGTTATTCATCCACTACTATTGATCCAACAACACTTAACATCCTAAATAACCTACCACTCCTTACCATGTCCAATGAAGAAATTGGCATCCTTTCTTCACCTTTGTCTTCCGCTTATGTTCCACCCATAATTAGGCCACTATAACAATCCACCCATCATAGTGAACTCCCCGCCAAGACTTTTTCTAATTTACAAGACTTTCACATTGAAACAACCCTCACTTCAAGGACTACTTTGTCATCTTTTATAAACTTGGTCAAATAGTCGAGGGATTTTGTTGCCATCTACATTGGGCTTAGTGTAAAGACTCAAGAAGAAAGTGTAAAGGCATAAGACTTGACTTATCTTGTACATGTATTTAGTCAATTCATGAATAAGGCACGACAACCACACTTAGAATCAACTCATAACATGCTTAAGTATATCAAACAAACACCTAGTCAAGGGATTTTGTTGCCATCTATTGATTTACTTTAGTTGCAAGCATTCTACGGTGTAAATTGCGCTCAGTGTAAAGACACAAGAAGATCAATTACTGGTTATTGCGTCTAACTTGGCCAAACAATAATATCTTAGAAGAAAAATAAAAAGACAACAATATATTGTTCAAGTGTAGAAGTAGAATATTAATTCATAGCCACCATATTTTGTAAAATTACATGGCATAAAACATTTTAAAGGGTTTGATGGTAAGTCATATGCAACTAGTGCTTTTTTTTGTGATAATAAATCCAATATGCACATAGCTTCAAACCAATATTCAATCCAAGGCTTAAAATAAGCCATTAATCTTGTGAATATTGTAATTACAAGATTCTATTTCCTAATTTATAAATTGGTAATTTAGCTTAGTTATAGGAAATATAATTTGACCTCTTGTATCATATTAGTATAAGTTTGTATCTTTTTTCTTATTGATAAATCAATCAATATTCATACTAAATAACAAATTCTTACAAAGGGGCTTATACCCAATGATTAGTCTCACAAATACACCCATGAGAATGCCCATTCAAAAAAAATGTAAAAATGATAATAATATCATTTAAAGAAATAACATTAATTATAAAGTAATATTTTCAATAATCAAATTAAGGCTAACCTGCATCGGTAGGAGAATTATTCAAATCAAATTCATTGATTTTTGGAGCCTTTAGTTTGTTTTGCCATGTGGCATGATCAATAAGCAATGGGGCCTTCTCCTTTCTCATTTCCTCACCAACGACTTCACCAACAATTGTATAACAAGCAACACACATAAGCATTAAAGCAATGAGAAAATAACTTTCAAAACAAAATTAATTGATTAATCTGTCTTAATAAGCAATTGGGAACATTTAACTCATATCTATTTATAAATAAATGTTTACATAGAAACAAAGATTTTTTTAGCTTTAAAATGGAAAAAATGTAAATAAAATAATTTCTATGGATATTAGTTTGTCACCAACATTCTTACAATTTCATTTCCCTTAAAAAGTGGGTTTTTTAATTTTCCATGGCAAGGAATTTTATATTTTTGTGGGAAATATATACCTAATGTTATAGCTATGGATACACATTATTATTAACTTCTAACCATGATCACTAACTATTGTTAACCATAACATTAATTTTACCTAGCAAGAACACCAACTTTTTTTTTATTTAGAGAAGAAAGTTTCGAATAAAAGTATTCATTTGATAAGTCTTGATTTTCAAAACAAATTTATAAGAAATATGGAAACATAAGCCTTGCATAAAAACACAAAATAGATGAAGATTTATATTCAAATCTCATTGTTGTTAGTACACAACAACAAAAAATAAAGCCTCCTCATATTCATTTCCTCCATTAAAAATAATTTTTGTACAAACCCCTCAAGATCATCAGTCCACAACATCTCATTGGCCTACCATCAATTCTTCCAAGCCAACTTTACCACAACTGCAATCACCATTTATCTACTATGGTGGAGCTTAGAGGAGTAGAAAGTGGGAGAAGAACACGAAAAGATGGATTTGACTTTTAAAAATGATGGACAATCAACATTATTTTTGAATTTTTAATTTTAAAAGTTGAAAACTATTTCAAGAATAATTTAAAAAGTTTTTTATCATTTAAATTGTGTATAATTAAAAATATTTTTAAAAAGAATAATCAAATAGGTTTTAAGCTTCTATCTTAAATTTTTTTTATAGGAGTAGGTTTTTAATATGATAGCAGGATCTTGAAGATTAACTTAGTTATTTAATCATTGTTGCTCCTGATTTTTTTAAATAAAGGCAAGTCTTAACTCAAAGTAATAAAGTTATTATTTCTTTATTATACACAATTCATGTCTAAAATTAACCATAACATATTTTGGCTTTAAATTTTGAATGTTTGTTATAAACAACTACCCATGACACAATAAATATGTCTACTAATATTAACTTTATTTGGTTGTAACATTCACAAATGTACCTTAAAAAAACATTAACAACTGGTATAATGACTTGAAGAAAAAATAAATAGTTATTTTGATTTATGTAAGATTAAAAAGAATCATTTCAATCTTTAAAGGAGGAAAACAAATAGGTTTAAGGTTCAATAATCAATTATTTGATCAATCATTTTAAACTACATACTAACAAGCATAACTTATTACCAATGAAATGTAGTCATTGAAACGTTATTAAGTGGCACAATAGATGCACACACACAAACACACAAGCACACATTAAATAAAGCCTACTTTGATTTGTTATCTAAATACCAATTCCTTCATCCCAATACCTTAAACAATTCTCACCTTTTCCTTCACAAACTTCGCACCTAAAAACATATTTCTATAACAAAACCTAATCATATCAACACAAATTACTAAACACCCCAAAACTTTTAATACAATCAAGGTAAAACAAATGAAAACCAAAATACAATTAGATTAATGTAGAGAAGGTCTACGACATCAATTAAAATGAGCTTTCTACACTAATTGTACAACCAATATAAAAAATATATTCTACATCGATTAATTTTAATTTATGAAGAAATGTATTAAAAGAATTCACATTGGTCACATGAGTGCGTCACCATATGCTCTCCACACCAACTTCCAGATCCCCCTACCATGCCATAAAATGTGAGATGAGATGTTTATATGAATTTTATGTGAGAACCTTGTGTGCAATGTAATAGATGTGTATGTATGATGGGATATGAGGCGATGCTTATATGTAATGGGAGAAAGTCCAGGTAGAGGCTTGGCAATAAGAAATCTAAGGAAAGCCTGGTCATATGGGAAGTCCAAACATAGAGGTTTGGTAGTGTGATGAAGATGTTATGGCACTTTGTGCATATTTTTGTTTGTGATATGATTGCAATTCATGCATTTACACATAATTTATTTGGATGTCGGTTGTGTTTCTATGTGGGAGGGTCTCTATGGTCTTCTACCTTGGCCTCGAGAGTACTATAGAGTGGAACCTTTCAAGCTGCAAGGACGTAACCACAACCAACTCTTACATTCTGACTAACTTCTAATAGAATTAATTCTAGTGAGAATGGACCATGAGCCAAATGCCCATTGTGTGGTGGCCTTTATGTTTTTTCCATGCGCTCTTAGATTGATTCATTTGAGAGCTCCTTGTGAGATTTTGAGAATGGTACATGTATATAAAATTAAGAGTATGAGTCTTCATCAGTCCTATGTTTCTTGTAAAGTGAAGGTTTTAGTTGATTTTAAGATGTGGATGAATAAGGATGTTATGAGACGTGGTTATGTGTGTGTATTTCTTGTGTGTCTATACATGTGTGAGATGTATTCTCACCTATCTTACTTTGTTTTATATGTTATTATTTGGGTCTAACACCATTTTCGAGAGAAGATCAGGTAGATTATTTTGAGCCTACGAGAAATAATGCTTAGGCTTCAATTTTTATGCTTTGATGTAGCTACTCTAATTAGTGTTACAATGAGGCTTAAGGATTATAGTGCATATTTCTTTTGAGAACCTTAGTTTCATATAGAGCTGTCAAAATTGGCTCAGCTCGGTGAGCCAACCCGGCCCACCACGGGTTCGAACCGGGTTGGGTAAAAAAAATTGAAAATTTCAGTACGGGTCGATTTTGAACCCGGCTCACTCGGGTTGAACCCGTGGTGAGCCAGGCTAACCCACCAACCCGTAATAAAAAAAAAAATAGTTATTGGGCCAATGCAATCCATTAGGGTTTCAATTTGAACTTCACAAATCACTTCAGACCCTCTCACTCTCAGACTCTCTCACACGGCCACCGTATCGCACCAGCCACCATAACTGCCACCACACCGCACCATAAGCCACCGCTGCACCACGAGCCACTGCGCGCACTGCATAGTTGCCACAGCGCGCACTGCGAGCAGCGAGCCATCGCGCGCACCGCGAACCGCGAGCCACTGCGCGCACTGTGAGCCACCGCATGCAAATCAGACAGGTATATTCTGCAAGCACCGCAAGCCACTGTGCGCAAATCCTTTTTTTTTTAAATTCGGTGAGCCAACCTATTTAACCCACCAACTCGTGGTAGGTCGGGCCCGGTTCAAATTTTTTGAGCTCACTAATAAATGAGCCGGGTTGGGTTAACCCACCAAATGGTCAACCTGTGGTGGGCCAGGCTAGGCCGGGCCTGGTTACCCGTTTTGACAGCTCTAGTTTCATATTTAGAATTTCTTATACAATGTTTCTTTTCCTTTAAATTTATTTTGAGGACTTGAAAAGGCAATTGTGGTTAGTTATTTCTTTTTCGAAAAATCTTTTTATCATTAAAATAATGTTTTATTCAGTGAAACAAGACATGTGAATCCTTTTACTTTGCATGTGAACTTCTTTATGAATTTTAAATGAATGTTATTTTTTTAGTTTATTAAAATGTTTAGGGGGTGAAAAAGTGTCACAATAAACGACACTTAGATTGCCACTTTTAAGAGTGTAAAATGATCTCAACGTATTTGTTTTATCTCTTGCTTTGTTCAAAGCATATCTTAAATTTAAAAGTAAGGGACAACTAACTTATTAATAATGACATTGTTGTTAATTGGCAACCTATTGTACTTTTTTTTACTATCAACCATTTCTATTCACTCTATAAGCCACACTTTTTTCTCCTAATTGCTTTCTCCCCTTTCCCATTTCTTTTCTCGTTTTTTCTTTTCTTTTTATTATCGATGGTTAGTAATGGTTTCTTATGTTATTAGTGATCACATTAATAAGAAGATGGGTGACAACAACAACATCTATAACTTCTCTCATATTCAATATCTCAATGATTGCACTGAATTCTATTACTTCACTCAGTGAAATTTCACTCAACTTTGATTCTTGCTAGTAAAAACCAACCTTATTTTCTCGATACAAATATGACTTCATTAGTGACGACCATAGGACCATCACTTAATTTTTGATGCAAGATAAGTTTATGGCATCTTTTCGCCATTAGTATCAGCCTTTGGCTATCACTTATTAATGATTTTCTTGTAGCGAATATGTCTCTCCTTCAATCATAACAACCTCATCTCCATCAAAAAAATTACAAAGGTATAACTTGTATTTACCCCTAAGTTTATGTAATCCATGTAGCAAGTTCTCATCCTACATAGAAAAATATCCCCAAACCTTATTTGAATTACTCAAATCATAAAATTTCACCTACATTAAAGCCAATTTGCACTACGAAAAAATAATTAATTAGTGATGAGAAATTATTTTGTATCACTAAAATGTTTTAGTTTTGAAAGACTCAATTTAATTTGCAATATTTAATATTTTCAAGACTCAAGTAATTAGTTTATACTTATTCCAAACTAAAAATTTTATTTTGACATACAAGAAAAGGGATAATGCAATGAGATAGGTTTGTTGTTAATACCTTTGGAAAGTTTTCGCTTGTGACTGATGACACTTGTTCTAGTTGATCCCTTGGGGAAATCCACAATGTTAGTTGCCATTTTCCTTTCACCCACACCTTTAGTATGTCCTATTACTTGCTTGGATAATTTTGTATTTTCACCCAAGTGTTTCTTCGTCAGTCTTCCACCATCAACTTTAAGAGTAGAAGTAGGAAGGCTTTGGGGCTGATTCACATCACTGATATTAGTTGGCGAAAGAGACTTCTTGGCAAAGGAATCCTTTGCAAATTTTTTCATGGCTAAGAAATATGTTAAGCGCAAATAATCTGCAAATCTCCAAGGCTTTGAATCTTTAAGTCAAAAATCGATTTAGAAATTATTGTACTTGAACCGCCTATTTATTATTAGTATTTTATTTAATGACACCTATATTAATTTTTTTATTACATTGATGACTAGCAATGAATATATATACATTTTAATTTTCTTTTTGAACGTTTCCTTGAGTATGTTTAATACTATTTGAAATCAATGATCCAATTTAAATTTATTTTTATGATATTTATTATCGAATTTAAATGAAATTTAAAATATGTCTGTTTTTCTTATTTTTATTTTTTTTACCCATTTTATTAGTGTGAAATATCAATTGACTTTGTGAATGACTTATTTCTATTACGATACTTAACTATAGACCTTTAGTAGGGTCTCCCCTCCCACCACTACGTTTTTCTTCATCAACAAGAGTCAAATATGAAGCATTACTTAAGAGAAGTCTAGTTCCACTCAGACTAACGTCTTCTTAGCTTTTGTATTTGTATGTGTGGTTGTGAATCATTTTAAAATTATTTGTATTATATTTAATAAAATTAAAAAAAAATTATTTTAAAATAATATATAACACTAATAATATTTAAATAACATAACATTTTCGAAGATAATTTTATATTATCTATCACTGTACCAATTATATATAGAGAACTTCATTCATATATTTATTGATATGAAAATAAATTTAAATTAGAATAGGTATATGTTTATTATACATTAAGCTTTTGACCTTGATACGACCGTGAAACAAACCTTGAAGTTGATTAGGCAAGTTGACTCAATATCCAACATGAGTGACAAGTCTCCGGGATGTTCACCATGTGCTCAGAATGAAAGTCAAACATTTAAATCTAATAATTAAAAGCAATGACCGTTCCTTCAAATATTTTAGGATTAGCATAATCAATATTTGACAACATTCATTGTTATACATAAGTCAACAAGGCTATAAATGTCTTAAATCAATCATGGCATGAAACACATTCATTATACCTCTCACATCTTTGAGCCTATTAACATGAGTGTCAATGTCTATGTAAGCATTAAAATTTACAGTGTTAGACATTTATAAACGTCCCAGCACTTGTTATCGAGTTTAGTATACTTGTTTAAGAGTTAAGTAATTGACCAATACACCATTATATTATATTTTTAAAATAGAAATTATTTTTAATATTTTTTTATTTTATTAAGAATTTTAATTTTTATTTGAGTGTTAATGATATATATTAATGTTAGTTATTATTAAATGGTAATTTCTTTTCCCCTTCATTTTTATTGTCTTCTTTTATTTATTTTTGTGATTTTATTAGTTATTTGGTTGTGCTTTTATTAATAAATTTATCATATTATTAAATTTGATCAATTATTAGCAAGTAATGACTCACAAAAGAAAAAAAAATCACAATTTAAATATATTTACTTTTATATTATTTTGTTTAAATTATTTTTTTTTTATCTTTTTTGTTTGCAAGCTAGCCCATTTAACCATATAATCCACAATGTGGATGTAAAACATGAAAAGTCTAGTATTACTATCAGGAATAAAACTTGTGTATGGGTCTACCACAACACTAGTATGCATCAACTCAATTTATGTGTGATTAGTTTGTTGCTTACCCTCCTAATATTACGCACCCTTCCATCACTTAGTTAGGTATTTTGCCCCCTATTTCATTCCTTACTTATTTTCCACTTCATGAATCAATAACCATTCACTTTAGGAGCCAACTCTCCCTCTCTGAAGTGTTTTCATATTTTCGGGCTCTTAGAGCATCACAACTCAAATCCTCACAATGAGATCTTTCAACATAGAAAATAACTTATTCTCCTCTAGCTCTAAGTTCAACTCACAACATAGAAAGGATGCATCATGCATGATCTATAGACGACTCGTCAGTCACCCAAACCCTTCTAAAGTTTCTTGTTCGAAGGGTTGTTCTCACTTAGTGAGAGAGGCTTGTTATGGCTCCCCCCACTTAGTAAGCATGACCTATTGTGGATCACCTGATTGGGTGGACATAACTTGTTGAGGAAACTACGACATTTGTTGGTCCTCTTTTCAAGAGAGCTTTGGCTCATTGGGGGAAATCACCTCTATGGCCACTCACAAGTTCATCTTCTCGCTAGGGGATGCTCATGCCACATAGCAAGAAGATGAATCTAGGTAGATGTTCATCAGCTATGCATGCATTCCAAGTGAGCATGTTATCTTGTTGGGCAAAACTACAAAGTTTTACCAAGCCTTCTCGCAATGAATCTAGCCACCAACTACCCTCTCTAACACATTCAATTAATTCACCAAACACATTAATTCATCAAACCCTTAAAAAATCAAAACTACTAGAATTATAACATGCTACAACATTTTGCTCAAAATTAACCCACCTTAACCTTTTTCAACACAAAACCCCAACACCCAACTTCACTACACATAAACACAACCTGATGGAAGACTTGTTGAGAAACCGGATTGATGTTGATTCCCCTTCAAGCTTCTCCCTAGATCTTTGGCTCCTTGATTCTTCCTAGGCTTGGCTAAGGTCTCCAAGGGAGGAGGAGACCTTAGAACCACCACGGTTTGGTGGAGAAACTCTCCCAAGAGGCGCCACTCCTTGAAGAAGAGATAAGCCCCTTCAATTCTCACCACACTCTTCTATGGAAGGGATAAGAGAATTGGATGCACTCAAAGAGGTTTAGGGACTTTTGGAAGAGAGAAATCTGAACTCAACTCAGAAAATACAATCTCTAATACATCAAAAGTGTTTTACAAAGAAGGAAAAACGAAAATATAGGAGTAGGAAGCTTAGAGAGCAAGCTAGTCTTAACCATGGTTCATTAGGAACCATGGTTGAGTCTAGCTAAACCGTCCAAGGTCAAGAGGCTTGGAGAGCAAGCTTCTCACTTGGCTTGCTTGGTAAGCTAGCCAAGGAGAAGCTTGTGCTTCAAGCTTCCAAGCTTGAGAAGCTCCATGAATTTCGTCCAAGTGTGAACAAGTGTAAACACAAAGTGTGAACACACTTCTAAGGTGGGCGGCTCCTTGGAATTAAATTACTCCATTCGTTTTAAAAATGATTAATTTGATTTAGTTAGGTTCATCCAATGTGAATGGAACCTAGCTAAATCAAATCTATGAAAAATTAGGAGTAAAATGAGTCCAATATGAAAATTTTAGCCTAGGACCACCTTTGGCTAAATTGCTAGGAGCACTCTCTAGCTTACTAAGGACACTCTCTAATTTGCTAATGCCACTCCTACTAGAAAACTAAGAAAAGAATGTATTTCTAGGTTAGGTTAAATGGAGTCAAAGTGTCCAAGTAACCTACCCTAGAAACAATATACAATAGCTACTAAAAAGGAAATAAAGTGCCTCACAAATACAAAGGCAAAAATACACCTATACAAGTATCTACTATATACAAGGTACAAGAAAAAAACTATACAAGTATGTACAATGGAAACTTAAGAGACTAATAAGAGGAACCATAATCAATGCTCATGATGAGCAAAGGTCTAAGAAGCACCTCCTCTTTAGAAGCCTCCTCTAGCTTCCTAACCATGGACCTAGTTAAAGGCCCAATGGTCTTCAAGTGTGAGCATCCTTGGATCACCCTTCACCCTTCTTGGTCTTACCTCTTCCAAAGGGATCTTTGGGGATTGGATTTCCATCACAACCAAAATCAACTCAAATTTCCATTAATGGGCTCAAATAACTCAAGATTCATCATACAAAGACATAAATAAATTAAATTATAAGCTTCCCTTACCTCAATTGCTTCCACAATAAGAAAAATCTAAGTTGAAGGAAAGAATAACATGATCTTTCTACAACTCGGTCTACGCTTTTACAACTTGATCTACACTTCACAAGAAGAAATGGAAAATTTTAGTGGAATCAAATCAAAGGTCAGAATTCTATGGCTCTAGAACACTTCTCTTTGGAAATTGAAAGAAATGAACTTATGAAGTTCATTCTTCCTTAAAACCTTATATACCTTATCTTATCTTGGTCAATTCTGACCTTAACTCAAACAACTTAAACAACCTAACTCATAGGGACTCCTTAACCTTTAAAGTTTACCATAACAACATACAACACAACACGGTAACTTAAAATCTCACAAAACATCAAACAACTCGTAACATGCATAAAAGCAAACATATAGGGTTACAATAGGCTTAATTAATTTATCAATAAATTTTATAATACAAGCAGTGGATGTTTTATTAAATAAAATAAAGTTAGACTATAAGTTTGTGGGATAACCTTTGGTTTTGGGCTTTAGAGCCCAAGTTGGAGTCTTATTAATAAGATAAAAGATGAAAGGTAGGGTCACAAGCATCAATTTTCTGAAATCCTAAGAGTGTCTATAGAGGAAACCCTTGAGAAAAATTGCAAGGAGCATGAGGAATAGCTTTAGACTATGAAGATTGTGCTCATTGCCTTGATGATCGTCATCTAAGGTAAGAGGGGAGTGAGAATGTCTCATCTTATTGGAATGTATAAGGGTATGGGTAGTAAGGCAATCCCTAAGCTTCTTTTGGATTTGTAATTATGTGTGTTCAATGGATTAATTTATGTTCTAAAACCTTACCTTAGCATGATTTCATGCTTGGCTTTCCCAATAGTGGAATCATTAGATGTTCGCATGGAGCGATAACTAGGTTCAATGCCTAAAAAAGGGAATCTTATTGAAGGGGTGAGTAGAAGCTACTTTGTTAATGCCCTAGCCAATAGAGGAATTATATCTACATCCATCCTCTATCAAAAATTCAGTGAAAGCTCTCTTATAGGCACTTATTCCCACAATAGACTCAATAGTTATAGTTATAATGACAATATCGTATTCTTCCTTTTCTAATTCACATGCAAAACTTTTTTGTCCAATTCTAGGAAGAATTGATTCACTTATGCAATTGATGTTGCGGTATGATGATAACTATTATGATTTTCAAGGATTTCAGAT